TCCTTTCTTTGATGCTCATTTAGTATGAAGAGATGCAGACATCCGCCGTCAGATATGGGGATGACTTGCGAGCTACCAAAACAGAAATTGCAGATCTCAACCGCATGATTCAGAGACTCACATCAGAGATTGATGCCATCAAGGGACAGGTACAGAAGATAGGTTCACCCAGCATGGAACAAGACTATAAGCCACATTATATCATTATTTCATAATCAGTTTAACTTATTTCTGTCAATTATTAGCGTGCCAACTTGGAAGCCCAGATTGCAGAGGCTGAGGAGCGCGGTGAGCTGGCGGTGAAGGACGCCAAGGCCCGCATCAAGGAGCTGGAAGAGGCACTGCAGAGAGCCAAGCAGGACATGGCCCGCCAGATCAGAGAGTACCAGGACCTGATGAACGTCAAGCTGGCTTTGGACATCGAGATCGCCACCTACAGGAAGCTGCTGGAGGGAGAGGAGGACAGACTGGCAAGCGGCATCAAGGCCATCAACATCTCCCAGCAGAGCAGTAAGTCAACTTCAAATGGACTTTGAAGCCTTTTCACAGTTTGTTAAATTTGCACATTGTCTTACATTCGTCTGGTTTGATCTAAACAGCAAGCTACAGCAGTTTCCCTGCAGACAGTATGAAGAGCAGCTACTCCAGTGGATACAGCAGCGGTTACAGCAGCGGTTATGGCAGCGGTTACGGCAGCGGTCTTGGTGGCTTCAGCAGTGGTAGCGGCAGCGCCGGCGGATACAGCACCACCACCCAGACCAAGAAAAACGTCGTCATCAAGATGATTGAGACCAAGGATGGCAGGGTGGTGTCCGAGTCCTCCGAGGTCATTGAGGATTGAGCTGTCTAGATTAGAGGTGCAGCTACCTGCCTGCTTTGATCTCCTCTGCCTCTCTGGTAGTTTTATACTCACTGCTCACCCACCTCCACTATTGTAATAAAACAGTCTGAAGTAAAATGCTTTCTGCCCACTCTCCAATAGAGCACAAACATGTGTTACATGAAGCAATGAATGATCCTAACACTACCAAAGATCTGAAAGGGACCAATGAACTCATTCAGTTTGTCTGATGTCTGACTGTTTGTACTAAAAGAAGTAGTTTTGCACCGACCAGTGAATTTCAACTTGGGCAAATTGCAAGTAGGGAAGAAAGGAAAAAATAAATAAATAAAATAGAGCACACTCCCATGAAGTCTATGCAAGTGCTGAACCATTCATGAAGGGCCATTTTGTTGCATTTAATGGATAGTGATCCTGTTAAAGGAATGTGAATGTACTGAAACAGAGTTTCAGTGTTGTTGGTCAACTTTTGTTTTAAAATGCCTCCTACAGTAGGTTGTGCATGTCTTCCCTGTGCGTGTTCTGTAACTGAAACTGTTCAACCCCTTAGGAAGCTGCCCACGTCACACTGTTGTCCTGAGGTGCTGTTTTTGCTACCAACCTGAATAAAAATGTGTTTACTAAATGGACAGATGTCTGACTTTCCTTTTTAACAGCAACTCACTAAAACACTAATCAAAAAAAGTACTTGCAGCATTTAGTTTTGCCTTATTAGTTAAAAGTGGGCGGAAAGTGATTAATTCTGAATCAGAATCTCAATGGAATCTGGAAAATTAATAAAAAACAACTACAACATTTCTGGAGAAATTTAAAAACAGCTTGTCAAAATGTGAATATTGGTCGAACTTGAATCAGGCCATCCACTGCTGAAAATTAGCATCACTGTTAAGGTTAGCTAAAATTTAGTCAGTAGCACGTGGAGTATCACTAACATGTTGAATAACATGGACTTCCTCCCTTTATTATCCAAACACTAGTGTATAAGCTATAATCAGCTTCAATGTTCAGGTTAGCTGTCGGTACCATATAACCTTTAAAAACTGTCGACAGTTTTTTCCTGAAATTTACACTTTATTGAGAGACGGTTAACTTCAATAATATTAATTAACTAGTATACAACACCATTTTTTGTTCTTATGGTGTGCTTTATCACAGGTATCTTGATTTTTTTCTAATGCTATAATTCATAGATTAGAAGAAATATATAACATGAGTTGAATAATGCCACATTATCCACAATGGCCTGTATTCTTAATTACTGATTGAATGGCACTTCATGCAGTTGTTGCTACAGAGACAAAACTACCCACTTTGATAGTCATTTGTGTATTATTTGATAACGTATTTGGTTTGTAAATCTTGTTTTGATTTGCAAATCTTGTTCTGATCCCATGCTTGCGACATCTAAGAGATCTAAGTATTATTTCCCCGCTCTGGTTCATTGATTAACGTTTAACTATATTATAGCAAGGCATCTCCTGTGTCCAGTGACCTTCAATGATAATTGGCGGTTCTTGAAACTGCTATAAACACATAGCTTGACTCATAATAGAAATATATGTGACATTGTATCTGAAGCCTGTTGCTTTAGATACATTTATTTGCATACTTTATGCTGGTCTAAGTAACACATTAAACACAGTTTGGGTCTTGGTCCATTTGTGCAAATCTGTCTGTATTGTAAATGCTGACATTGATTAATTACTGGTTAAAGTAACTACCATACCATACCAACTTTATTTATAAAGCACTTTAAAACAACCACAGCTGATACAAAGTGCTGTACATTAAAACACAACATAACAATTAAAAAATAAATAAATAAAAAAAAATAAAAACTCTTCCAGTTTAAAAATAGACAAACCTACAATTTAAAACTACATCCTGCTGGAGTTGAAAGCCAAGTAAAATAGATGGGTTTTAAGACGAGCTTTAAAAGTGGACAGTGAAGGGGCCTCTCTAACCTGCAAAGGCAAGTCCTTCCATAACTTGGGGCCCATGACAGAGAAAGCTCTGTCCCCTCTGAGCTTCCTTCTGGATCTTGGTACCTCCAAGAGCAGCTGATCTGCTGACCTGAGAGACCGACAGGGTATATAGGGGTGAAGAAGCTCAGAGAGGTAAGCCAGGGCAAGATTATGCAGTGATTTAAAAACAAACACAAGAATTTTAAAATTAATCCTAAAATATACAGGCAGCCAGTGAAGTGAGGCCAGGACAGGGGTCACATGCTCTCTCTTTCGAGTTCCTGTCAAAAGTTGTGCAGCAGCATTCTGAACCAGCTGCAGACGTGAGAGCAGCGACTGACTGACTCCCAGATAAAGTGAGTTACAGTAATCCAACCGAGTCGAAGTAAAAGCGTGGATCACTGTTTCAAAATGCTGCCTGGAAAGAAAAGATTCCACTGATGCCAATCGCCTTAAATGATAAAAACTGGATTTAACCACGGCTCTGATTTGGCTGTCCAATTTGAAATCACTGTCCACCTTAAAACCAAGATCTGTAATAACAGGTTTAAAATACCCAGCAGCCATCCATAATTAATGCAAGTCACTGTATTAATTTGCCTGTCACAAATTGTGATGGTCTGCTTCCATCTGACAAAACGCCATCATATATATATGATGTTTTATGTCCTACATGAAAACACTGTAACAGACAGGCAGCGTCAGTTCTGTCTGCTTTCATGTTCACAGAGGTCTATGGCGCCATCTATTGGGGGAATTGTGCCTTGTCAAGTCCAATGTTACTTCCTGATTATGTGAGCTTGGGCCTCACTTAAGTGAACTCTCATTCTCACTGCTAAATTCCTAGTGTTCTAACGAAATAGAAAATGTCTGTGCAAGACGTTCCTGAAGGCTGAGTTGTCCTGAAGCAGACCAAAAGATCTCTAAAACAGATCTCAAAAATAAATTTAGATTAGGCTCAGCACCTTTCAGACCAATTCTAAGGCATTGGGATTCCAGTGAACCAAAGTGAGAACCATTATCCACAAATGGAGGCCAAAGGCCACTACTGACATTTCACCCAAAACATCTTGATGCTCTTCGAGACTTTCAGGAAAATTTTCTTTGAACTGACATTTTTGGAAGTTTTGAGCTCCATTACATGTGATCTAAAACTTACATGGCTATTAAGACAAAGAGTGTGATACTTGCAGTTAAACATGGTGGCAGTAGTGTGACACCCTGGGGTTACTACATTGGTTCTGGACCTGGTAGACTTAATGGAAACATGAGGTTTGCTTTCTACCAAAAAGGAATGCGAGAAAAATGTTTGGTCAATAGTTTATGACCTTATCATGCATCTTCAATGTTCTTTAAATGGCAGAAAAAAACACTTTTTGAGGAGAAACTATAAATTTGGTTGCTGTATTGTCTCTCTAAATATCTAGCAAGTTTTTTTAAAAATGGTAATTTGAAGAAAAAGCTCTGCTTCCTGAAAGAAACACTCATTTCTGGAGCTGTGTGACACCTAAAGCACACTTGCAGATATTTTTCCATAGAAATGTGACTCTTAAATTTGCTCAATGGAAGCTGAGTTCACCTCATGGAACATCAGATCCTTACAAGGCATATATTTGGGCAAGACACTAAACCATCTAATTTCCCCTGATATAATTCCTGGGGTGAAAGGATTTTTGCTTTGAACAAAAGCATTTTCTATGAAAAGATCATATAAAATGGAAATTACTAGTAAAGAGTAACAATGGGTAGTAGTAGTCCTAACTTTGGTGGGTACAAGAATACTAAAACCTGAACCACAAAAATGGACAACAATGTTCCAACACACCTAGAATTGAGTTATTTTTTTTGTTTTGTTACAGTTTTGGTGACATATAGGTACCATCTTGAGGTATTACACTTTTCAGCTGAATTGAAAATCATATTATTATAACTTTTGGACTGATTGTAATACATGAAAGATGTGTGATCATTAAAAAAGATTGATCTGAACCTATAATGAGAGGATACAAATAGAGAGACAGAGAGAAAAAAAAGTGTTCGACATTCCTCAGACAGATTTCTGTATCAGTCAGAGAAGTCTATAAAAAGAGGAGGTGATTATTATGACTGAATAGTAAACCCAGAGGTCCAAAGGTATGGTTAGGTCCCCTCCCTGACAGAGGCAGGGTTATAAACTTCACCGATGAGTTCCCTCTGCCTGTCCCACTTTGGTCTCTGCCCTTCACTGGTTTGCCTGCCTGACATCCTAACTCCATTTCCTTTCTTAAAAAATTAGCCTGCGTAATGTCTTTCAGGGTCAAAACTACCTCCTACAGGAGCGCTTCTCCTGGAAACTTCAGCAGCAGCTCCTACGCTGGATCTGCTGGAGGCTTCAGCTCCCGTAGGTCCTACAAATCCTACGGCGGCGGCTTTGGAGGCGCAGGAATGACCAGCAGCTCTGCGTACAGTGTCGGCTCCAGCATGGGCGGTGCAGGAGGTTTGGGTATGGGCTATGGAGGGGCCATGGCCCCCCTCACTGCCGTCAGCGTGAACAAGAGTCTTCTGGCCCCTCTGAACCTCGAGATTGACCCCACAATCCAACATGTCCGCACCAAAGAGAAAAACGACATCAAGGGCCTCAACAATCGCTTTGCCTCCTTCATTGACAAGGTAAGAGATTGTTAGGAATTGCTGCAGTATAGTCCAAGGTTGAGTAACAGACTGTAAAGGCTGTTACTCAACCTTGATGTTGTTAAGCAACACTGGGTTGAGAACCTCATGCCCATCACATTGGATTTATTTCCAATTGTGTAAGTTCTTCTTTGATTAATGGTCATCACTTCCTCCTATTGCAAACACACAAACATGAGTTTGTATCTCTAACCGCATCAGAACGTTGTATCAACTTCCATCCATTTCGGTTACTCGATTTGTCCTGAACTTTAACCTAATCTTAGGACACACCTTAACCCTAGTCTTTTCCACTAACTCTAAAGTGGATGTTTGACTGCATTAGTGCTAGGCTACAATCTCACACACATAAAATCACTCTGAGTGCTTATCATTGCCTCAGTAAAACATTGAAGATGATTATGCAGCTCCACCCTATTCTGTAACAGCTCAGAAGTGTCCGATCTGGCTTCCGGTACTGTTCCAGCTTACAAACACCAAACAACAATGAAAAGTAGAGCCATGGGAGTCGAAATGCCTGTGTTTTAGAAAGTCCATGTTTGGTTTGTTACAACATGTCTGGCTTTGCACGTCTTATTGAAAAGTTGCAAACATGCCCTCAACTGGTTCTGATGAACTGCTTGTTTGGTAAAGTTTCTAGACATTTGTCTAAGACAATAACTGTATAGAACAGGATCTTGGTGTTTTACAACAGTGTGTTTCCACTTCTCTACTTCTTCATCTTTTGTCCATTTGGAGGTCCTTTCATGGTCAGCTGTCTTGTATCCATCATGTTCCTTTGATGGGACTGAACCCAGCTGTGACCTCACATTCAAGAAGCCCAAAAAAGCTATCTATTCATGGTTGATTGCATATCTGAATCCTTCCAGACAGATTGCCCCAGATTGCTATGGTAAAACCCTTCCTCTCATTGAAGTTATCTAAAATATCCAGCAGACCTACACCTACACCTACGCTTTTTACAGTCTTGATAACGACTGAATAACCTAGTGTATTATGATCAGGTCTCATCAGGTGAGGTTCTTGGAAAGCTGGAATGCCTTAAGTTGTCTTTGTGTATCTTGTTGTTCAATAAAAAGTTTTGGCCATATTGAATTTGGTTTATTTTGCAAAACTGTGATGGAAACACTTTTTTCGCATCGTTCAAATCAAGTGATCAACAATTAGATGTTACCGATGGCACAAACCATGAAGTAGAAGATGACAGGAAGTAGTTGGTGGAGGATGGCGCAGCTTGATTTTAATGACACATGAACAAACTTATTCATGTGATTTTAATTGATCTTTTGCAAAACTATGTTTTTTTTGACATTTGCAGAATATTTACAAAGTTTTATGCAAATGTGTAATAGAAACACAGCTATGGTTACACAATGATGCAGAGAAGGAATATGTGCAGTGTTTTGAACACCTTAGTTTCTAACAGTGTCTGTTTCAAACCTGATGTAGAGATCATACTGATAGAGGCATTAACAGCAACTTACAGTGGGATCTATATGAGTTAGCTTTACAAACTAAATACTGTTCTCCTTTGACAAAATTAAAGATATGAATACTTGACCTTATTTGGAGATAGGCAGGTGCTGACTTCCACCCTTGAGGTCCACTGAGTCACAATTCAATTAGTTCTCGATTGGTTCAAGGGTGACAAGTTGTTCATCTAATTTAATTGGACAAAATCTTCTGTGATGTCAGTGGTGCAGGGTTAATATTTAAAGAACGCCGACTGGTTTTATGTCCTGGTCCATGGTTGCTTAGTAGCAGGGTATCAACTCTCCTCCACCCAGAACAACGATTAAACAAAGATAAGGGGACATAAATTTCACCCAAAGATTGTGTTATCTGTCTGATTCACTTTATTGTCTGCATTTTCTCAACTCAGCACTACAGCAACTCGTTAAATTTTGAAATTCAAATTGCAGTGTCTCTGAGTATGTACTCTCACTGTTGCTCTTTTACTACATATAAGTATGCAAACTAGTTCTGCAGTAAAAACATCACCTGTACACTTTCAGTTGCCTCAGCTGTCTTTCTGATCTTCTCTTATCAAAACCTATAATATGTAGTTACATATTTACCTTTCCGCAGTCTGGAGACTAAACTTTGCCACACCTTTTTTTGTCCATCCCTGTTGAAAAACAGGAAGCTATGCAGGAGAAGGATTAAGCATCTCTTTTCCTTCATCGCTGCCTTTTTAACTACCTATTATAAAAATGGAGATTAGGCTGCACCCCTTTTAAATGATATGGCTTTATATCAGGTGGCACCTTTTTCTGTCTTGTAGTAAATAAAAGGATTAAAAGATTATCATAGTTTCAGCATCAAAGCGGACATCCCCGTATTTGATTTGATTCTTCCAGTAGGTGCAAAAGAACATGATGTATTTACAGACAGAAAAGTTTAATTTGTCACTTTTGATGCATTTAATGAACAGCAAACATAATATTATTAGTTTTTGCATTTGATCTGTCAGTTACAATTTAAATACAATCAAAGGACAATTAGCCAATCTCAATCATTTTCCATTTTCCATTCTTAACCAAAGACATTCTAATCAGAAGTTTTTGTCACAGACAGCAAATAGAGACATTTTAGATTAACCATTTACTGATGGTGTGCCTAAACAATAACATGCTGCACTTCATAATGACACATATTTAATTTTTATTGCACCTACTCATCTCCCAATATTAACACTCAGAAGTCTCTCCCATCTGCTTTCTTTGACAGAAACAGACTCTGGAGCCCATTGGGCTTTCTACAGGTCAAACTAAATACTGAGGTCCAACATGGGATTAAAGAAAGCTACTATAATGTTCCAACAGTATGTCACTGACTAGACAATAGCTTTGTCATTTGATTCTATAGATAAGCAAGAATGTGAAAAATATTAGCCATCTTAGAGATTCCTTCTGTTTTTGCTTTTTTGTCATAGGAGTTAATTGGTCTAGATCTAGTGAAAGACTTGTTCACCTTAAACATCACTTTTAAAGAATAGTTTTGCTGGATTTCCAATCCCATAAGAAAATATCAAATACAAGACAAAGCAACAAAATCATGTTAACTTTATTTGCATGATCTTGTGGGAAATTTATAAAATTACCTAACATTTGATTGTTGTTTTTATGTAATTAGGTCCGTTTCCTGGAGCAGCAGAACAAAATGCTGGAGACCAAATGGAGCCTGCTCCAGGAACAGACCACCATCCACTCCAACATCAGCTCGATGTTCGAGGCCTACATCACTAACCTGCGCAAACAGCTGGATGGGCTCGGCAACGACAAGATCAAACTGGAGGGCGAGCTGCACAACATGCAGGGCCTGATGGAGGACTTCAAGAACAAGTGAAGAGCTGCTATTTCCATCTGAGACAAAACATTTCTGAATGTTCAAAATCACTTCTGAACATGTTTCCCTTCTCAGGTATGAAGATGAAATCAACAAGCGCACAGAGTGTGAGAACGACTTTGTCCTTGTCAAGAAGGTAGACTGGACACTTAAAGTTAACTTGTTAACTGCCATCATTTGGTGCTTACCTTCTCATCAGAAGCAGAAGTAAGCCAATTTATTTTTTTATATCACCTTCTAAAGAGCACATGTCTTCCAGGATGTGGATGAGGCCTACATGAATAAGGTTGAGCTGGAGGCAAAGCTGGACAGTCTGACGGATGAGCTCAACTTCCTCAGGTCGATCTACGAGGAGGTACGGCTCCAGCTTTTTCAGTTTGTGTTTATTTTTCCACCTTTAATCCCTTCAGCACCCATTTTAACTTGTAATTTCTGTCAATGCATTTATTTAATATTTGTATCAAGTTTCTCCTTTGTTGGAGAAGTTTGTGTTTGGCTGACCCAGGTCTTGTGCCATCTCTGAAAAGTCTGTGCAGAGAT